TTTGTATGAACCCTGATGAAGCCCCGTATGATCTACTTCTGAAAAGTTGTTTTACCTTGGTAATTTATGTAAGATATTGCTGTAATGAGGCGTTTGTATCAGGTTTGCATCTGGGTATATCTCTGGATAGATGAAAACACAGTGGTGCAATTCATTGGAAAGATATTTATTGCAGGTACAGTCTGGTATCATATTATCAGCTAAGTTTCATATGTCCATTGCTGGAAATAGCACTTTATTTTGTCATTCTTTTTCCTCGGATTATTTTTGCATTCTAAGTAATGTTCTTCCATTTAACCGCTAAAATTTATTCTCTTTTCTCCAGTGGTATCATTTATTGCTGCACTAGGTTTCTTGCTATATGGAGGAAGGTGAGTCTTCTCCACTTGTTGAAAAGCTATGTAGTGTTTAGAGTATTAAAGCTGTTTCAATTCTTTTTGCTCACTTGAATTACATATGTTTCTTTTGTTTGTGCATCTCCATACTGTGGATTATCACATACTGCGCTTTTAGGTTATTTTTCATGCTGAGACGCTTCCCTATTGAATCAAAAGGGAGAAGAAAGAAGCTTCACGAGGTTTGTTCCCTTTCTTCACTGTTCATCTTCTGGATCACTGAAAATTTTATATATTTGGATGATGCACTTATGTTCATGTGTATGATTGGTTTTGTATTTGGCAGTCTGGAGAAATAGAATTTTGTGTATTGTTGTTGTCAATAGATTTGCTCATGGTCTGACGTTTTTCCATGACAGTTAGGTATCATATAGGAATTATATTTTCTGTGTGCTTGTATGTCTGTCTATTCAGTGGAATTTACAAAGACCTGTATCATGGCAGTCCGGAAGAGTATTCATGCAGTTGTGTATTGTTTCTCATGATGGTACCATAGCTACAGTTATGAGCAAGATGGGGTGGGAATATTTTCTGTCCATTTTGTCATATAAGCATTGCATTTTCTATGGGTTTGCATGAATTCTATTCAAGTGGAAGCTACACAGAGTATTCATTGCAATCCACTGTTAGTATACATGCACTGTGTCTATGGGAGGAATTCACTGATGTGCTATGATACTACCATAGCTATGGAAGGGAACAATATAGGTGGGATTAATATTATTCATCACAATATGAAGATTCAATGTGGACCTGTTTTAAGGGACTGCAACAGCCCTTTCTTTTGGGAAACTTAGAAAGATTGATGGTTACGGGATTACCTTGGAGCATTAAGCTTAAAGGAGTATCAGTGTATCATATATGTGATATTTGCTTTTTTGCAGGTTGGATCTGTTACAGCCATTTGTTTCACCTGCTTCCTGATACGGTGCTTTGTGGTATGTTTCAAACTATATTGCACCCTGGTGATTTCAAATAAATATCTTCTCATGCTTTTAAAATTTTTTCAACTTTTGGTGCTTAAGAAACTAATACTTTTTCCACTCTTCTATACCTGTCATACTCTTGTTATAGTTCAGTTTTAACTGCGGAAATGTGATCAATTTGATTGCACTTTCTTGGGAAGAATAACAATTAGAAGAGTTCGATCTTTTTATATCTTGCCTGGGTTTCCTTAATAAACTTGTTCTAGTTTTATGTTTAAGAATTAAAAGGAAGCCCAGAGACTTGAAAAAGTAATCTTTGTGTGAAAAAGATGATAATATTTTGATACTTTAAAGATGATAAGATTTTAATACTTTAAAGATGATAATATTTTAGGTTTAGTACTTTAAACCTAAATTAATTCATTTAGGAGATGTTATAAAATGTGATTTAAAGTTGAGATAGTATCCTCAGCTGGTTTATTCTACCTCCATAAACAACACTGGCTGCACCAGTGGGTTGATGATATTATCGACCGGATTTCACGGACTGAAATAGGCAATGATCAAGTGTTATACTTGACAGGAAAAGAAATGATCTGGGTTGATGAACAAGGACTTAGTGGCCTGCCCAAGTACCAAGTAACTCAAATCACTCTTTTGAGTTGATTTGTCATTTACTGCTTAATTATGAGCTTTTCCACTCAATAATTTCAACTATTGGTTTATTTGATGCAATAAAATCAAAAATATGATTTTTCAATCTTGTTGGCTTTGACATGTTATAAGACAGTTTAACCAGTTTGACTTTCAGAGATAACATACACAGATCACAGACTCTTCAGTAGATGATCGTAATTAAATTACATAAAGGGTTTAATTCCCTGGTTTATTGTTAGATTACCCACAGGAGAGTTATAGGCTGTGAAATTTGAATACGCATGAGGGAGTTCCTAGCCATCTCTACTTGAACTATCTGTACTGTGAAGTGTCGATAATTGATCTAAACATGATTCAGAAATCTTGATTTTAATGTTTTCTGTGAATCAGAAAAATAGGTCATATGATAACATACTATTACTTCATTTGCTCTGTGATAGTGCTGCTTTCTTAAATGCACATTAGATAACTCAGATGTGTTTTTAACACAGTTCTCAAATTGCAGGATCTTCTGTCTGCTTTTGATACAGATGCATCACTGGATGTTTTGGATCACCCGGTTTTGAATTTGATCTACTACATGGTATTCATCTTAGCTTGTTTATTTGTATTTCCTCAGTCTTATGTATTTATCTACGTATGGGATTATGTTTTGATGTCAGCTGGTTGAGATCCTACCTTCAGCTCTGGTCCTCTACATACTGCGCAAGTTGCCTCCCAAGAGAATTTCTGCACAATATCATCCTATCCGGTAGTAAGACGTTCCTTTTTTCTCTTGTTGTTTAACCCTCCGTCCCTCCCCCATCCAAAGAACAAGGGGTTTTTAATGTTTTGAGAGTTAGATGGTATTGGAATTGAAGAAGAGAAGCAGAGCCAGGTGGACAATCCAGATTTATTATTCTGGCGAGGCTCATATTGTCGGCAATTTTTTTACATGCATATGAGGAAGCTGTATGCAGCTTGCTGAAGGGGAATTCTTTTTCATCGGTATCTTCATGGCATATGTGAAGAATTGGTTATTTGATGTAATATATTTGGTCACTTTGACAAAGGAAATTTTCCATTTGTTTATCGTGGTAGCTGCTTCTGTCACTTCTAGATGGTAGACATTGATTGTGTTGTGTGATAAAAGGTTTTTGACTGAATTGTTATACTTCTTTTCCACCTTAGTAGATTGTTAGGTTTTTTCCTGTATAAATTGAATTAATGTTAACTATTAATCTTCATTTTTTGTTATGTTACTTGATTTCCCCTCGATTTGCTTAGTTGATTATAAATCTTACAGCCATTCACGTGGAAGCTGTGCACTTACAACAAACTAGAGTGAAATTTTTTTCTTAAGTGATCAAATGTGCTGTTGCTTTATTCTAGTTAAAGAATACTACTAAAAAAAAATAGGCCTATTTGTTGTCATGTTTGAATAAAAATATATATTGTTTTCGTCTGTAAGTCCAAAGAATGAAACTCAATATTCATTATTAAGACATGATTAGCCAAACATGAATTGTTTTTTGGTCATTCATATTTCATTCAAGGTGCGTTTGGATTGCGGGCGTATAAAATAATGGGATAATTTTCGTTTATTTTGTAAAACTCTGCTGTTTTATTTGTAAGTAATAAAATATTACGAGAATTTTTTATTGTAAATAATGTTTACTATTGGTAATGTGAAGAATAATCCAATACCCTCCCCCACCCTTGGAATTAAAACATTATCAGGGTAATTTGATTTTTATACTAATTTTATCCTTAATTAAATACCATTTTAGACACAATTGTCTTCAAATGTTTACCAAATATCAATTAGCCCAGCCTTCCTACATTTGAGTAATTAGCTAAAACAACCAGTCACAAAAATGTTCAAAAGTTAACAAAATACCTCAAGTCACTCAAGATCATTGTCAACCGTTACTTACCATCGTCGGTCGCTGACGTCAATCGTTGTAATGGTGCATGACCAACGAGCTCTGGCTGGTCATCAGCTGGTAAGGCCTTTTCCTAGATCTGGCCGTTTCTATGGCGTTTCACGGCCACAGATTTGGCTGTGAAACGACCATGAATTTGTGATCCATGGCTAGAAATGGTTTTGTCAACGTACGATCGGCCATATACGGCCAATCATGCGCCATTCCATCAACCGCTGATGGTGGCCGAAAGTGGTGGTTGGCTACCAATAGTGGCTTAGGGTGGGTGGGGGTGATTTTGCTACAAATTAAAGTTTTATATGATGAGATGTTTTAACAAAATTTCAAATGTAGGGGGTTAAAAGGATGATTTAAAAAATAATACTATATTAATATTTAAAAAAGAGAACAATTTAGTAATATATATAACAGACCCACTCATTTATCCTCCCAACCAAATATATTATTTACCAATTTATTCGAACCAACAAAAAATATTTTATAAACATTCTCAATAATTTTCAAAGTGATTTTTCTTTCAATTAATATAACATCTCTCTATAATAAATCATTATATGATCCACTACACATAATGGAAGAAAAAAATATTTCAATTTTTTTTTTTTATCTCAAATGATTGGAAGAATAGAAACAAGACTAAATATAATTTGTTCATCATTAGTTCCAAACCGTGGGGGTAGTGGAAAACGATACATAAATGATAAATCAGTTAAATAGAAAAGGCTTTGTTGCTTTTCGGTAATCATAATTCAGTGCCAATTAATGCTCGAGCATAACTCAGCATTTTGAGGATCATTAATTTCCGTCATGAAAACCATAAACAAAAATGTCAATGACTAGCACTAATCGATAAAAAAAGTTTACTCTCTTCATTGACCTTCTAAGTTAGAACTACCTTGAAATCAGTCAATCACACACCACATTATTTGTGACTTAGGTTGAAAACATTAGCTCAAGTTTGTAAAATGTTTCATAGACCTAAAAAATTAATTGAGTATTGACCCAAACACTCTAATCATTAAAATAAAATAAAATAAAAAGCCAACCAGAGTCATATTTGGAACCCAAGATTGGCAGTAAAATTACTTTCAAAAATGTTTCGCAGTAAAAAGAGGGAAAACATTGTGTTATTTTTTTGTAATTGCTAAAGCTTCGGTCACACCAAATGCACAAGGAAGCACCGTATACTAACTACAAGCAGTCCGTCATCTCTATATAAATTACAAAACTCACCTTAAATCCAGTCACTGATCTAGCACCAGCAACTTCATATACAAAGTTAATCTCAATGAATCAAGACACAATGACCACAATTAGCATATCCTGGTTGATATTCTTCGGACATGGGCCCTACGAAACTTTCTGCAGGGCCCACAATTCCCATGGGCAATAAACCAATATGACCAAAACATACTCTGCCAGTCTCCTCCCTTCAAGGGTCTCGCTTAATCTTGGTGAACTTCCTCGGCAGGTGGTGGAGCGAATCTCACATTTGCAGGGCGTGCCACCACTACAGCTTCATCTGCAAACAATGCTTTGATGAAGGATGGAGTTCTTAATGGTCGGCGACCAGTCATTTGTGGATACACATCTTCAAGAAAATAGTAGGCATGACCAGCAATCATTCCCTGGATTACAAACAAAAGTTTTTAAGTTGACAAGGAATCACAAAACAGAAAATAGAGAAAAGGAGTGAGACATTTATATTAAAAGTGAGGCATCCTACAGGGTCAAACAACACAACCTCCACAATATACCCACACTACCCCAACAGATCTCCCCAACCCAATTTCCCAAAGAATTCCATCTTCACCTACTTTGTATATATACTCATTCTGAATGGTGATGACATGGTGAATTTCATCATACAATAATATTCCTACTTGTTAACTAGTAAGACTGTATTAGGTGCACATGGTGAGAACGTGCAAAAATGTTCATTAAAAATTGAATATTATTTCAATATTTTTGACATTGATGCGAAACTTCTTTTTAACAGAAAACGCACCAGCAGATCCACCCAAGCACTAGCACCAACAAAGACAGAGAATCCCAAAAGCACCTGCAATCAAGAAGGCAGATATGCATTACATTCTACAATGGAAAGGACGAGAGGCTGAAATTACTGCTATAAAAGCTGAGAAGGAAAATTTCCAATTTCTACTACAAAAGGCACCAGGAAAACTAATACTTTATATTTTTTCAAATTAAAAAGAACAAGTAGAAGCTTACTCACCCATGGTAGATAAGCTGCGGTAAATGTAAACAAACCCAAAAAACTCATATGGATGAAAGGATTTTGTTTGCTCCACACATACACCTGTATAGTTTTAAGAAAATTACATGGCCTCCAGGTAATTATCAACAACAATATCACCAATAAAACCATGTTGCAAATTGGAAAAATGCAAACTAACCATCATGAGTGTCAATGAATTGCTAAGGAATATGATTTTTGCAAATGATTCTGACAAATAAGGTATCATTCCCCCAACNATTTATTAGAAGCATGCAAAAGACGAAGTTAACAACCAACACATTATATTATTTATTATTATGCCGACAGAAACATGCCCAAAAATTAAATACTCAAAACACATTTATTTCCACTATGACTCTTCCAATTCACATAGAATCAAGTTTAATAAATAGGGCTGTTTCTGTTTACCTTCAAATACTCGTTTGAATACAAGTGCCTACTTCTGGAAATCTACTGGTAAATCTCGTGTCACAACCAATTTGCTTTATCCTGGTCAGCGTCTTCAAAGAAATCAAAATAAACACTTTGCACCGAATAGGTTCTCGGCACCCAATTCACAATTAAATAATAACACTGTGAACTAAGTTGCAGAATTGACAAGGTATAAAACTCTAAACTTTGGACCCTGAAACAATAAAAAGTTAAAAATCATACCACTGGGCAAGTGACATTAAATTCTGAAGGAAAATTATCTTTTAAATACAAGAACAGGTAAATCTACCTTGACTTTATCAAGAATGACCAGAGGCCCTGCAACACCAGAAACAGTTCTATACTCTGCAAACGGAAAGCACCCGATGAATGTTAAGAACCATGTAGAAATCATCAACTAATCTATAAATGAATCAAGAGAACATAATCACTAAGATGCAATAAAACCAATAAGAGACAACAAATCCTATTATTGAACTAAATTGTAAACTCAAGATACAAAATAAAACATGCAAAATTGAATACTCTCGGTCTGGGTCAAGTGCTTAATTTTAGAGTTATTTATTTAGTGGGTTTGTGTTAAAGCTGCAATCAATTTGCAGGCTGCAGCTTATCTTTTCTCTACAGACTAGAATAATTTACTTTATGTTGGATGCAAGAAGAACAGACATAAGTTCATTTTGGAATCGAAAGTAATAACAAAAGGCCAAGATTATATATATGTAAACACTAATCAAATTTCGTCCATCTAATTGAGCCACAACCAAAAAACCAAACTAATCTACCTTGACTTTTATGCTTCGTGGGTTTTATCATAACAGTATTGAACTAAATTGTAAACTCAAGATACAAAATAAAACATGCAAAATTGAATACTCTGGGTCTGGGTCAGTTTTTCCGGCGAGAGAGGAAGTCTTCGTCGTTGATTTTCGGCAAGTTCAAATGCGAATTGGGTGGAATTTGGGAGAGAACAGAAGACAACCAAACCGTGACGCTGCGTGACAAAAACTGAGAAGTTTAACCACTTAATGAATTCTCTAGGCTGCCTGTCAGTCTTAAGACTACTTAACAAACATATACTCACCTGAGAAGTTTAATTAGACGACTAAGTTATTCAAACTTGCATATAGATTGATACTGAGATTGGGGCTGTTTGACTTAACTGCTGCAGGAACTAAATCAATTATGTGATGTTATTGTGGAGGCACTTCGGGATCGCATCGTAACTAGTCTACTTCAGGCATCACTGGTCTGTGCGTTGTTTTGTCTACAGATTTCAAATAGCAGAAAGGGTGCGATGATGCTTCAGCGCAGCGTGACAGAAGAAGAGAAGAAAGGGTGCGATGATGCTTCAGCGCGGCGTGACAGAAGAAGAGAAGAAAGGGTGCGATGATGCTTGAGCTTGACAGAGAAGAAGAGACGAATGGCTGCGCGAGAGATCAGAGAAGGGAGAAGACGATGGATTAGGGATTAAAAGCGTGAGCCGTTTTTTCTGCCGGTCCGGTTGGACCGGCGGTTCACTTAAATTATCCGGTTTTTANTAATCATAATTCAGTGCCAATTAATGCTCGAGCATAACTCAGCATTTTGAGGATCATTAATTTCCGTCATGAAAACCATAAACAAAAATGTCAATGACTAGCACTAATCGATAAAAAAAGTTTACTCTCTTCATTGACCTTCTAAGTTAGAACTACCTTGAAATCAGTCAATCACACACCACATTATTTGTGACTTAGGTTGAAAACATTAGCTCAAGTTTGTAAAATGTTTCATAGACCTAAAAAATTAATTGAGTATTGACCCAAACACTCTAATCATTAAAATAAAATAAAATAAAAAGCCAACCAGAGTCATATTTGGAACCCAAGATTGGCAGTAAAATTACTTTCAAAAATGTTTCGCAGTAAAAAGAGGGAAAACATTGTGTTATTTTTTTGTAATTGCTAAAGCTTCGGTCACACCAAATGCACAAGGAAGCACCGTATACTAACTACAAGCAGTCCGTCATCTCTATATAAATTACAAAACTCACCTTAAATCCAGTCACTGATCTAGCACCAGCAACTTCATATACAAAGTTAATCTCAATGAATCAAGACACAATGACCACAATTAGCATATCCTGGTTGATATTCTTCGGACATGGGCCCTACGAAACTTTCTGCAGGGCCCACAATTCCCATGGGCAATAAACCAATATGACCAAAACATACTCTGCCAGTCTCCTCCCTTCAAGGGTCTCGCTTAATCTTGGTGAACTTCCTCGGCAGGTGGTGGAGCGAATCTCACATTTGCAGGGCGTGCCACCACTACAGCTTCATCTGCAAACAATGCTTTGATGAAGGATGGAGTTCTTAATGGTCGGCGACCAGTCATTTGTGGATACACATCTTCAAGAAAATAGTAGGCATGACCAGCAATCATTCCCTGGATTACAAACAAAAGTTTTTAAGTTGACAAGGAATCACAAAACAGAAAATAGAGAAAAGGAGTGAGACATTTATATTAAAAGTGAGGCATCCTACAGGGTCAAACAACACAACCTCCACAATATACCCACACTACCCCAACAGATCTCCCCAACCCAATTTCCCAAAGAATTCCATCTTCACCTACTTTGTATATATACTCATTCTGAATGGTGATGACATGGTGAATTTCATCATACAATAATATTCCTACTTGTTAACTAGTAAGACTGTATTAGGTGCACATGGTGAGAACGTGCAAAAATGTTCATTAAAAATTGAATATTATTTCAATATTTTTGACATTGATGCGAAACTTCTTTTTAACAGAAAACGCACCAGCAGATCCACCCAAGCACTAGCACCAACAAAGACAGAGAATCCCAAAAGCACCTGCAATCAAGAAGGCAGATATGCATTACATTCTACAATGGAAAGGACGAGAGGCTGAAATTACTGCTATAAAAGCTGAGAAGGAAAATTTCCAATTTCTACTACAAAAGGCACCAGGAAAACTAATACTTTATATTTTTTCAAATTAAAAAGAACAAGTAGAAGCTTACTCACCCATGGTAGATAAGCTGCGGTAAATGTAAACAAACCCAAAAAACTCATATGGATGAAAGGATTTTGTTTGCTCCACACATACACCTGTATAGTTTTAAGAAAATTAAATGGCCTCCAGGTAATTATCAACAACAATATCACCAATAAAACCATGTTGCAAATTGGAAAAATGCAAACTAACCATCATGAGTGTCAATGAATTGCTAAGGAATATGATTTTTGCAAATGATTCTGACAAATAAGGTATCATTCCCCCAATAAGAACAGTGCCTGTTAAAAATGTTGCTCCAAACAAAAGCATGTAAAAGAAATCTGCAGTCCTTCCCCTGAAAGAGTTCTCCTCAAGAAGCTTGCAGTATCGAGCAAGAAAGAACATATGGAACAAAAAGTCCAAATCTGGCAATACAAAGAAACAAACATGTCAATAATTTCGACGATTGGTGAATGAAAGTCATGTCAATAATTTCGACGATTGGTGAATGAAAGTCATGTCAAGTTATCATGTATGCCTCTTTGGAATAAATAAACTTCATACTGCAGCATGAAAGTCATGTCAAGTTATTGAATATAAATAACTTTCTTAGTTGGGAGGGGGATGAGAGAGTGACAAAATAGACTTCAGACTCCCCAGACAAAATAGACTTCAGACTCCCCATAGTTATTTGAATTAATAAGATCTAACCTCGGTCAGCATCAGGCAGGACAAGAATGTTGCTGAATAGCGAGAAAGCTATCAGTCAGCATGTCTTAACCACAAACTTGAGTATCTAGACTTTTATAGAGAAACAAAACCTACATTGCCATCATGTATTAACCATAAAAAAATTTAATGCAGAGATGCTCATATAGTCATACTCAGACACCACAGGTATGAAGAAAATCTGCAAATCATTTCCAAGCCTAGTAACTTCATTTGATAAAAAATTCACAGGTTTTGACAAAATAGCACATTGCTGTTACTGTGGAGCATTTGTGTAAATGTAGAGGTAAACCTGATGTGCCTTCCTCTACATGCTAAAGAACCCATGCCAGTTTCGACAGTAAATCTCAAGCAGTAAAATTGAAATGCAGAAGAGACACTCAAAGGCAACAACAAATTTTTAGCAATATCAAACTGAGAAACTTACCCATTTTCCGGAAGAAAAGAAAATTAGTGATTAGGCGCCAGAACTGATACTGCTTAACCACAAGTGTCGGATGCAAGCACAGATTAAAGGGCGATATTATCTATGAAATTGTAACACAAAACAGCAAATACATGAGAATAGTAAACAATAGCTCCTCAAAATTACCACCCAATCAAAACAAAAAACCAAAACAATAATAATAAATCTTAATAAAAAAAATCAAAACCAATCATTTTCATGCTAAATACAAAACTAAAACTTAGGATCTATCATTCAATGAAAGCACCGAAATTCTCAAATTTGCACCAAACCCACTTAAAATCCTCTCAAAACAAAGAAACCCATTTACCCAGAAACAAAATCACCACGCAATACACCATCAAACCCCCAAAACCCTAAAAACGTACACCAAAAAAATCACAAATTCAAGCCCTTTCTATTGAAAGGAAAATAAAAAACACATAAAGAACGGAATGACAGAGAGAGAGAGAGAGAGAGAGAGAGAGAGACATCGAGAGAGCAACCGATTGTGGTGACGATAGCGGCTGTCAGATAGGTGCGGGTGATGATTGGCATCTGTTTGTACCATTCCTCTACAGCTTGGGCCATTTTTCTTCTACAAATTTTTCGACAATTTGGTTTATGAAAGAATTTTGAAAGCCCTCAAAACACGACGAATTTCAATTTTCGGGAAAAAGGGGTTTTTGATTCAGAAAAATTAGTGATGGTGATCAACGACAAGGTACAGGAAACAGCTATTAACGTACTTATGCTGTTGATTCTGCATCTCGAATCATCGATGACAAACCTCCACCAATAAAGAGCGTGTTTTCTTCACGCTCCAATGGGGTGCTTTTGGTAAATTTACTAATGTAAGAATGTTCATTGTTCACATTAAATAAAAATACTTAAAAGTATAATATTAAAGAATTTTAATCATCCATTTATTTAAGTAGATTTGGAAACTAAAAATAAAATTATATCAGTAACTTTTATATGAATGGGCTTATGATACTTTCTATTCTAAAATCATCCATTTATTTAAATTTTTTAGAACTAAAATTTAATTCCATCAATTTTCATAATTTAAAATATAAATGCATAAAATTATTATAAATTTAGTGGATTAATATTTGATTGAATAGAAAAATAATATAAAAAAAAATAAAACTTCCACAAATTATATGACTTATTAAGGATAATATTTTTTTAAAAATCACATTTGTCATCAGTATTCAACATTTTTTTTAGTAACCAATATTGAGATATTTATTTTGTATTGACTGAATTATGTCGATATATATATTTCAATTTGGCATTAATGTTTTATTTTCAAGTTTATAAAATTAAAATATTATTTAAATAATATTACAGTCAACATCAAATGGGTATATATGTCAAAACGTTAATTTTAGAACTTTTATTTGCGAAAAAAAAAAAACCTTTAACGCTTCGAATCAAACTGCATATACAGTAAAACCTCGATATAGTGATACTCTATATAGGAATAAATTCTACATAGTTATAAAAAATTTTAGTTCTAATTTAGGATAGTTATAAATAAGAATAAACTTCACATTGTAATAAGTTATAATTTTTTTAATTCCCACCTAAAAGAAAGTCGTCTTCACATAGTAATAATTATATGTATATTACAAAAATATATATTTTATGTTAAATTAAAGGTTTAAGATGAAATAAAATATTTATCTAAAGTTGTTTGAGATAATGATTTATATTTTAGAGTTGTTACCACATCTTTTAATTTGTGAGTACGTAATAACTCGTTAGCATGGACACCTGTTTGTTTAAGTCAAAATATTTTTAGCTTCTCAAGCATGTTTAGAGCTTCATGGCATAAAACTTTTTGTATTTCTATACGATCATCTTCAAGATTATTTCCTTTCTCTTCTTATTAAATTATAGCAATGATTTCTTCTTTAGTTAAAACATATATGATTTATTGCTCATTTGGATGATCGAGGAAGACATGAATAGTCATTCAATTAGTGCAATGAAGTTGTCAAATTTGATCACTCAATTCTAGAATGACTCTTTTTTATTCTCTTTATCCACTTCATTTGTAACTTGCAATTCATCGACATCAGAGGTCTTAATTTTGCAGTGCTTAAAACCATTGACAATTGTCTGTGGCTTTACATCAATTGACCATGCATCAACTGCATTTACAGTTCCATCAATGACACTTATTTTTGCTAGTTTCAAGACACGATCTTCTATCTGTTTCAAAAGTAGACAATTGAAGCGCTAAATTGAAATCCTAATACTATTAAAACATGAATTGAGATCTTAATATTGTAATACTAAAATATGAATTATAAAATAAGAAATCAAAACAATAATTTTTGTAACTGCACCTCTATTAAGTTATAACCTCCTCATAGTAATAAAATTAGTTCATCCCACCGTTATGACTATAGAGAGGTTTTACTGTATATACTATTATTTATTTATTTATTTGAAAAAAAAAAACATTGACTTAAAACATGGTTTTTTTTTAACTTAAAATTAAACAAAATTTCTAGGATTACTTAACTCTAAATGCAGGTTTTGGATATTAAAATGTTTGGAATATAATTGAACATATTTTAAAAAAAATTATATTATAAGTTTTAAAGTTCATTTCTTAGACTAATGCGTATTTTCACAGTAACAAGATGTACACAAACCTTCAAGGAGGTTTACGCAAACGGTCTATTGAAGACCGAGAAATGTGTAAAGAAAATGAAATGCGAAATAGTAAATAACAAAACAAGCAAGAGCAGTTTTTTTGGATGTAGTAAGCAATTCTTACGTCTAGTGTTATCTTATTGATGTGTTTATAATGAAAGATATTTGATTCTAGAGAGAGTTGCTCTATAGCTCTTGAGAAAATGAAAGTCTAGATCTTTGATTTGGGGTGAGGGACCCATATTTATAGTGTTTCGAAAGTGATCTTGGGCATGAAGTAATCCATATGTAATTGGATATGTGACGCCACATGTTAGAGTAGGTGCCCTAGAGCCAATTCGTTATTGTAATATTGACTCTTTATAAGAATGTTTATAATCAATAAAAGGCTTTTTCTACACGATGTAATTCATATTCATTATATGTTGTGATGTATGTCCTTAAAATGATAAAACCGTGACGAGAATATCAAGTGTTTCAAATATCGATAGTGAGGACCGTATGATCACATATGGTGGCCATTCTATAAATGTTTGTAACCCCAGTATTATTCTGACTTAGGACACAAATAATATAGTAAGACTATCATAGTGTTGAACGACTCTGTTGAAAGGTAGTGACTAATCTCACTTGTTAAGATTGTTTGCCAACAACCTGGTGCAACACATAAATTCCACATAGATGGTACCCCTAGTGTCTGGAGAGTAAATTCTCTAACGGATGGTGGTGCATGTGATCCTTAGACTTGAGATTACTGAAGCACCTTGTGTACCGATTAGTGTAATTTGACACTAACCCAATGTAGTTCTATTTAGGGCTATCAGAATGGTAGTGATTGGCTACATCGAGAAGAGTATCGAAACTATGGTGGATTAATAGATGATTCATCACTCTAGGGTACGGGAGAAATTATCTCATTGAGCAATTTGGAAAAATGGCAATGACACTAGATTTGTGACCACAGTAGGATTAAGTTGTAGCTCAATCCAATCTATTTTGGTTATTGGTTTAATAACCGAATACAAAGGGATCAAGGACATTGAGATTGACACTATTTCTGTATCCCAGTCTTGATGAGATAATGTATGATCAAAGGATTTGATTGCACAATAACTATATCGTTGATAGGTAAGCTGTTTCGCTGAATTCGAATATATCGGGTAGCTATGATGCCAATCTTGGTTGTGTTTGGTGATTGATTAAGTGTTAATCGCGATACTACTCACTACCGATATGATGAGAAGCCTTCAGGTCACACACATAGATGATAGATAAATGATAAGTAAGTGAGAAGAGTATTTTCGTCTTTTAAGATGAAAGGATATTTTAGTAATCTCATAGTGCAATTAGATTTGCTGATGTCGTTGCTTATATTTAATTTCATATGAAAATTAAAATAAGTGAGATTGTGTATTTAATTATATATATACACGTTATATTGTTAATTAATATTAATATTAATAAAAATAATATAAATTCAAATTCAAATTTAAAATTAAAATATCATGTTTCGAATTACCTTGATTTGGTAATGGAATAAATATAATATAAATATGGAATTAGTATAAGATTATTTCATATTAGATTAGGGTTTTAATTGTTGCACTATTTAAGTGCAACTTAAAATTAAAACATTATAATTCAATAAACAAAAACCCTAGCTGCCCTCTCTCTCTCTCCCAAAACCGTGAACAGTCATAGGTTGGAGAAGAATTTTTAAGTGAAAAATTCTGCACTATTATCCTTGAACCAATCGGTTTGGCTAGCACATCAAATACTTTAGTGATTGTCGTCCTATCTTTGTGTGGATACCAAACGTTCATTCATACCTTGGAGTGGAAGCAATTCAAATCAATTGAAGAAGCCTCCAAATGCTGGTATGAAACTATATTAATTGTTTAATGTTTATATCATATGCAAACAATGTAAAACGAGTATAAGGATCTTAGGGGTTTTTGGTTTGTGGATCGGAAAAAGTTTTATATTATGCTGCGTTCACTTGATCTGTAAACCTATTGTGGTATCAAAGCCTCTTATACCTGATTACATTGTTTAAAATAACGTTTGGATGATATGGTTTCAATGATAGTTGATTAGAGTTTTAATATGTTAATTTAAATCTTAAAATTGTTCATTGCATGTTTGTTTGGTGTGCTGCATTATATATATTGCATATGATTGATCTGTTTGTGTTTGATCGAAATCAAATAAAACTTGATTTTGATCTATAGAGTGCACTGCTGTGAAAGGCAATGCGCTACTGCACGACAGCAGCAACAACAACACTGCTCATGCATGGGGAGTTTTGGCCACATGCCTTAGGTTGTGCCACTGCAAACAGCACAACGGAAGCCTTGTGCGATGGCATAGAGGCTACTAATGCGCACAACAACGCATGCGAGTGTGTTGCTATTGTCCTCTACGATTCTTACCGTGTGTGGCTGCCCCAAGGTGGCCAAGTGCTTCCTGCACTTGGTTTTTCAGCCAAGTGCTTGATCTGGTGCACGTTAAAACGCGCAACAAGTTTGGAATTTTTTTGGGTAGCCCGTGTATTGATGCAACGAGTTGAATTTTGGGCCATGTTCGTGTTATTGCGTGATAGTTTTAATCCATAATTTTCTATTATATGTTATTGCATGTTAGAAACGTTCTGGAGGCCCAATAACAAGGGACTAAAATGAAAATTTTAAAATTTGTTGGACTAAAATGTAACATTGCTAAATATCAAGGGGTAATAAAAAATTCACCAACTTAATCAAAATTTATTTTTGATTTGTTTATGCATCTTCTTGTTTGTGAATATGCATGGTGTTTGGTGCATAAGCCTATGAACCTAGTTTAAGAATTATTTCGATTATTTAAAATAGGGCATTCGTGCCCTGCCTTTCTCTATACTCTTTGGTGTAACTTCTCTCTCTCATCTCACTCCCCTTGAATGTAACTTGAGGTTTCTTTTTAATTATGTAAAATATAATTTTATTTTGAAAGTTGTGTAATGTTTGAGAGGAAGAAGCGATGGAAAGAAGAAGATGAATTACTTGAAGAATTCATTTATTCATTTATACCTAGGTTAACTTACCGATTCCTCTAGGCTCGAGGAATTCAATTTTAGTTAAGGCTCTACACCTACACATTTCCTTAATGCTTA